CTTCTAAAAATGTGTCTTGTCAGTTAGAAAACGGTTCAAAACAGATCAGTATGTGTCAATCTGTCAATGGCGTGTTTGTCTTTAGGGGTACAGGTACAAATTGGGTCTCGGGTTTATCACTATAGAAATGTGTAATTCAATACTTTTTATTTGAATAGGAAGTGTAGGTATTATGTTGCAGGTACTGTTTTTCCTCTTTCATATTCAAATGTAATGCAGTAGTTGTTTTTTTTTATAAATAATTTATTTTTAAAGTTATCGTCGCTTTAAAGAGAAGATGCATACGCATCATATCAACATCGATTCATTCCACTGAAACAGTTCAGGGATTTGTTCAAATCACTTACTTTCATCAGGGAAATGACCTTGAACAGACGTTACTTTAACATTTCCCCTGAATTTATCGTATCCCTTGGGAATTTAATCAAATTCCTAATTTTGTCCTTTCCCTACGACATGTATAAATTATACTGCATGGGGTATTGTAATTTACTTTTCATGGGGTTTTTATCATAACATAATTTCAAAAGGTACTCTTTTTGAAGGGATGGACCACGGTAGACATGAACTCGTGACAGCCCCCGTCTTTATCGAGTTATAGGTTAAAATCTTGTAGCCACTGATGAACCACCATATACAGCAAGGGTGTCATACAGCAAAGGTGGGCCGCAAAAAAGAATCAATATTCATAAAAACGTAAGTTTACTTCGAATAATACACTATAATACAAATAAACAAAAGAAGAAGAATTTAATGTTTAAGTCCTGACACTTGACACCTCTTCTTTACAACTATCTTTTCTATTTATTTCGGGAGGAATTTTGATATTTTTTTGGATAGTACAGTAGAACCTGTTTTTGTGCGATCTATTTTTTATGCGGAGTATAAATTCCAATGGCTTTGGCGTCACTGTAATTTTTTCTATCTATTTAACAGTGGTGTAACGGAGAATATCAGCTCCTCCCTCTAAAAGTCAGGTTTTGCCTTTAATATTTTATAAATTGGGTAAATACGTATTTAGTGTTAGTCAAGCCTTGGGCCCCCTAGAGTCCTGCCCCCGTGATGCGGGGGTGTACGTTACGCCACTGAAATGTAGACACTTCAAGACGCTCTGTTCATTTGTTATAAACAGTCTCCCGACAATGCCCATCCAGTTGCTTTCTCTCAACGCTCCAGCAGCCGACGCTTAATTGAAGACGAAACTTTCAATGATAGTGACATTATGAATAATTAGATAGATTATGAAGACGGACTAGAAGAACCGGAATCTTTGAGAGTGGATAAAAATATGCAGGGATCCAGCTTTCTAACAAATTGGAAAAGCAATTTTTTCAAATAGTTACCAATTAAGAAAGGAGTATAAAATTCCAAAAAGTACATCAATCATGTATATCTGGTTATTGTGACATTTACAAGCAACTGTGTGTGTGGGTGTCCACCCATCCTTCGTCACAAAAACTTATCTCTTACTTTATGTTGCCAAAAAATAAATCGCTTGAAATTGTACCTTCAAATGACGAAAGCGATTTTGAACTTATTCATCACAGGGCTTTGGATTACGATGAATAGCAATGAATTATGTATGTGCATTTTGAAAACTCATCCGTGTATACAATGAGAGACTAGTTTTTAAAACGTTTTAATGTATAATATTTAATTATTTATGGAAGTACTCTTACATAAATTTCGTAAATAATTAGCATATTTCATTAATGCGACTTTTTTTTATGCGGTCACGCATAAAAAAAAGTTTTCTGTAGTATTTCCACGAATTAGTTTGTTATATATAAGAATTTATGAAATTTTTGAATATTTTTTTGTGCGTTTATTTTTATGCGGTCCCTATCTACAGTACAAAAACAGGTTCAACTGTATTGTGTGCAGATACACTAACCAGGCCGCAAAAAATGTTCGTTGTGGGCCCCGAGTTTGATACCCTTGATGTTAGATGACTGATGCATGTTAAATCTGTTGAGGATGTTGTGGTGAGGAAGTTTAGGGAATGAGGTGTTGGTTCAGGTCTAGTCCTCGTCATTTGAATGAGGTTCAAAATGACGAGGTTTGGGTCCAATAGCCCTCCTTTTGCTTCAAAGTATTACATTAATTAACAATATTAGCACAACGTCACCTTTTTTAGTATAATTAATATAATAAAATGCTGGTTATGTATAAATAAAGAAGAATAGCTCTCAAAACATAACAGTTTTGAAAATAAATCTAAAATCCATAAAGAGTGTAAAAAGTATTTCAAGAAATTTAATTAAAAACATATCTTTTGGCACTCAGTTGAAGACTAGCAATTGGAGCGATTGGTATAAATCCCTATATAAATTAGCAATGTGGATTGGTATATATACCCCTACAAATTAGCAATATGTTTCAAAATACAGATTCAAAACGGACCTTTATAAGTCTCTCTCTTTTCCGATACCAGCAAAAAATAATTACTTTAACATATATATATCAACAACGGAAATCAATACCGATGTTACAAAAAAAAATTTTAAAAAAATCAATGTTCGGTATAAAAGCTATATAATAAATTCTCTGATTAAATTTTTTTTTCGATATTAATTTCAATACTGATGAGAAATATAAAAAATTCAAAACTATTTGGAAGAGAGAATTAGACCTAAACTTTTTGGCATCATTCTAAAATAATATTGTGGAAAATTATTTTTAATAATTTTCAAAAAGATAAAAATATATGAATTTTCTTTGGAAAAAAAATCCACATATTTGACAGACCTTCATTTACAAGTATTTTCATGTTTAGATTCTTTTCGGAATTAGGCATGTTGTTTGCTTTGAGTCGGGGAATTTACATGTGTATTCTACATTTAATCCCCTGTATCGAGTTACCGCAGAAAATGGAACGAAACAGTTGACTTAAAATATTGTTAAAAATGAGAAAAACAACCTACACACACTCGAAGGGATTATAACAGGTGGTTAAACAAAGAAAAATTAGTTTTTCTCATAAATCGTGATATTTTGAACAAAGTTCGGAATAACTTAAATAAAATTACATAAGACACATATCCTGCCAGTCGATTTTCGCAATGACAGTTTACATAATCATGACAGTTACGTGGCGGATCGTTGTTCAAGCGTAAAAAAGGTCTACACAATTATCAGGCAGGTTCTTTTGGAGTAAATTGTCTTCGAAACTCTCTTGTCATCGCAGTAGATTTTCTTCGCCAATAAACACACACAATTAACACACGCACTTGTTGAAATTTATGCTATTGTGAATTCATCTCACAAATATTGAACATAGCAACTCAACTCCACAATCACAATATTGTATCATGCGAATGTGAAGCGCACATAGTCCTTGCTGAACTGTTCTCTATTATTATTCTGCATTGCATTTATATAGTCAGTGAAGCCGTAGTAAAAAAAAGCTTCTGCGCTATATCTCGTCAAATAATTATGTCAGACTTTTCCAGGGTCGTTTTCTGGATTCGTCACTAAATTTGGTGGCTTGGAGACATTTAATGACTAAATTTGTCGCCAAGTCCTAACGGCCACAATAGCAGAATGGTCATGGTCGTGAACTCGTGACCGGCGTTGCCAAGTCACTGAATTTAAATCAGTAAACCATTCTTCAAGGAAATTTAGTTGTAAGCTATATTATAACGCCCTTCAAATGGAGGAGTTGACACACTTTTCATTCACATTTGAGAAACAATGAAATAATTAGAACACATAGAAGTTTATCTTTAAATATTGGCAACAATAAATTCCATCTTACGATTCACTTTTCGCCTGTAGTTCTGATAATTATGTAACATCACTTCGTTGGAAAAACACGTAGGAAAAAAATGTGATAGAAATTAAAACAATTTTCCTACAAAATTCATTCTAAAGGTCGCCTTTGATAAACCAAATTTTTCCCATGGTTTAAAGAATCAATAAAAGAGAGCAGCCAAGCTTTCGAACAGTTCAAAATGTTAGCTTTGAAGTTTATTAAACAAATAATGAAGAGAAAAATCAAAATGACGTAAACCTGTGTGCCACTGAAAATCCGCACAATAGAAGTTAAAAAAAACTTGTGTGTAATGCTTAGAAAAGTTGACTCAACAATGGAAGTGATGATTCGAATGATTCCCCTCTCCCCCCACCCAAGTCTCCTTACCATGCTTCTCGATTGCTGAAGTAATAATTACTGAGTCGCCCAGCCGGTATAGTGGTTAGCGACGCTGACTGCGGTACCGTAGGGACTTTTGGTTCGAATCCGGAGAAGATATGGATGTTTGTAAAAGTTTTGTGCCTTTGCGGTATGGGGTACTCTAAATAGCCGTCGAGCCGCAAGTCCTCTTGTGTGGCTGGTGGAAGGGGAAGAGAGGTAGGAGGCCCCTGGCCACCCCCATTTTTTTCTCTCTAAATTGGGGTGGAACCGAGCAAAATTGTACTGTGACCTGCATGGTGCTCAAAGCTAAGGCTAACGACAGGCGTAAAAATTCTAGCCCTTAGCCGCGATGAATTTCGCCGGCCTCGATCTGACTTCGTCAGGCGGGTGGTATTAGTCACAACAACAACTAATTACTGAGTCTCAGTGAAGTACACGTAATTTTTTCATAGATAATCTACGTTTCATTTGAGTGAACGACTCTTAACTATATCATATTCAAATAAAAAAATCACTTTTTTTTAATCCCAAAGCTTTTAAATTATTTAAAATCTCAAAATAAATCCTTTTTTCAATTCCTACTATTAGTTCACTCTTCCCTATATATATATATATATATATATATATATATATATATATATATATATATATATATATTGTTCAAATTTTCTCAATCGTTGATAAAATATTTTCTATTCCTCCATTTAAGTTCAAGTACATTTTTTTAAACTTGTAGTGGATGACACTTGATGTTAAAACAGTTTTTTGAAACATTAATTCATTCAATAACTTAAAAAATGAATAAATTACAACAAACAAAAATAATAGTCCAACATCATATACAAAAAGGAAAATCGTTCGTTGTGTCCCTGTAGCGCAATGGATAGCGCGTTGGACTTCTAATCCAAAGGTCGTAGGTTCGAATCCCACCTGGGATGGCTTAACATCTGAGAATGTGATTTCTTTTTTACTATACTATTTTATTAGAATAATAAAATTTAATGAATGAATAAAGAGTAACAACACAAACAAACACACACACACACAAAAAAATAGTCCAACACTATATAGAAAGGAAAATGGAAAATTACAAGCAAAATCGCTTTCTATTTTGTCACTTAATAGTATGATTCTGTCATATGTATATACACAATTATGTTAATTGTAACTATTTAATAAAAAGTAATTAAAATAAAAATTTTTCTTTGTAGACCTAACAATGATTTGACTTCATTTTTTTTATATTACTTTTGTTATTACATTATTTTATATATTTAATAGATTAAAAGTGACACTTTTGTATCTCATAAATCAATGACGTATAAAGCGAAAATAATTTTGAAAGTTTATTTTAACGTAATTTATATAAATGTCCACACTCAAGTTCAATGATAGTTTCCTGAGTAGATAAGAGTACAGATTTTTTGAAGGTCAAGCTATTTTCTACACAGTAAAGAAAGAAAACACACTTTTCAATAGTTTCACGATTTTAAAAACAAAGTGCTCCACGTGGAAAGAGTTTTGCTCATTCAAATCGATAAATTGTGTAATTCGGATTGGCGAAATTTAAGATAAGATGCATTATTAGGTTCTGTTTATCCAAAAGCCATTTAAGAGTTTATTTCAAAATGATCAGATCTCTTAGCACAATGTCTCATTCGATTTTAGTGCAGAACAATACCCATTGTACAGAGATCAAACAAAGAATAATTAAGGACCTAAAAGGTATAAAGGCTTCCTATATGTTAATAAAACACGTTTTAAATCTAATTATAGAGATTTTAAACTACGTCATGTTTTCAAAGCATTTTTTGCTAGACATCCGTATAACTTTGTTTGCATTACATTTACATTACAAACACAGAGCCATTACGTATTTCTTTTTTCCTCAAAATTCCTATTTTTATTTTGTTTACTATTTATGTAAAGTAACAAAATGTAAATATATATTTAATTTATTAAGGGTCTCAGGGGTATTAACTTTGTCTGGAGGGGGGAAAATATAAACAATTTTCAAACAGGTATAATTCTTTTAAATTTAAATTAAATAATTCGAATCTTTTACACATTATTTACAAAGGATTATGGCTTCAAAAAAGTTCAAAATGTTTAAAATATAATCATAATTTTAAAAATTATGAGCATATGAGAATAAGAAGCATTTCTGTAAGAAATATTAATTAAGTTGGAAGGTTGCGTATGCTTTTTTCTAAAATAGTAGCTTTAATTACTAACTATAGGTTGATTTATAAAGTTAATTGTATCCTTATTACAATGTAGAAATTTTTTATTAGTAGAATAATAAATTTTAAAAAATAAGATTACATTTTCAAATTTTTTAAAATATTCAATATTTCTCAAATATTTTGAAATACCAAAGATACATTATTCTTAAATGATGTAGGGCTTAAGGAGTATGATACATTTTATATATAATTCTATAACGTTTTATACATCAGAGACTGCTATTTTAGAAAATAGCGTGCGCAACGCAAAAAGTATTTAATATTTATTACATATTTTCATATGCTTATATATATAATTTTTAAAATTATGATTATATTTCAAACATTTTGTACTTTTGAAGCCATAATCCTTTAAATAATAAAGATCGTTTTTTAATTTCAATTACAAAGAGTTATATATATTTGAATATTGTTTATACACTGGTGTGCAAAACTTAAGCAACAGGTGGGTTTATTGCCATAACTTCACGAAAAATCATCTGAGAGACATGAAATTCTGAAATGAGGGAGAGTATTATGTACGTAAAGGATGACGAAAGCATCGGCGCTGAAAAGGAATACAACGCATATGGTATGGAATCAAACAAAACAAGCTTTATTGAACGCATAGTATCGTGACTCATGATTGTCTATCCCAAAAGGAAGAACAACAAGCAGATGTTTCTTAATATAGTATATGCCCTCCCCTTACTACAATGATTGCTTTGCACCGTCTCCGCATACTCAGAACCAGCTGGTGCAACATTTTTTTGAGGTAGGAGTGCCCATTCCTCAATCAACATCTGTTTGAGTTGTTGGTTGTACTCCGGATGATGTGAGCGTGTGGCAATACGTCTCCCCAAAGCATCCCACACATGTTCGAGGGGATTTAAATCTGGAGAGCACGCTGGCCAATCCATTCGAGTGATATCTTCACTTTCCAGCAGCTCCTCAACAGCAAGAGTGCGATGTGGCAGTGCATTGTCATCCATAAAGATGAATTTCGGGCCAATGGCCCCTGGGAAAAGATGCAGATGGGGAAGAGCACTTCTTCACAATAGCGATCCCCGGTTACAGACCCTCTGTCGAAAATGGGAAGCTCAGTTCCGCCGTTCAGCATAATGCCAACCCAGACAAGAACTCCAGGACCACCGTAACGATGTCTTTCCTTGATGTTACTGGGATAAAACCGGGTCCCGATCTCTCTCCAAATCAAAACGCGTTGAGAATCGCTTCTGGTACTGAACCGACTCTCATCCGTAAAGAGAACACGACCCACTGGGTCCAGTTGTCCGTTTTGTGCCTCTCTGTCCCACTGTAAACGGTGGCTTCGGTGGCCATCTTTCAACGGGAGGCAGCGTTCAGAATGGGTGAACAGGCCCCTTTGTGAAGGCGTTGGCCACAGTAAACCACTACACTTGTCGACCTGTTGCTGTACAGAGTTTTGAGCAATGGCGCTTGCTGAATGCTGTCGAACTTTTTTGCCTGCAGGATGATATATCGGTCATCCCCGCAGTTGTCGTCCCGGGGGGCCACACCAACCTTTCTAACAGCTGTACCTGTGGTTTGAACGCTTTCCCAAACGCGCGAAACGACACTTTTGTTGATTCCGAACTCTGCAGCTACACTGGTGACAGTACGCCCCCCCTCAGCCTTCCGATCATCTTCCACGTGTGAAGTCATCCAGATGATTTCTTCTAGCCATATTTCACGAATTGACTCACTGGCACTTGCAGAGAATATGGTGAATTGCGTTCCGTCCTTCATTCATTTTACGTTGAGCAGCGCGCCGACATCACGCGTTTTGCGTACCCCTCACATCGCTTCTGACGTTTTGTTCCTGATATTTGCATACGCATGACGTTCTACTGACTGACGTGTTCCCTCTACTGATCTCCAGACCCCCTTTTTCTGCAATTTCATGGCTATCTGCTAATTTTACATTGTTGCTTAAGTTTTGCACACCAGTGTATTTTCAGCCCTCAAGAGAAAATTAACACCCCTGAGACCTCTTAATGATATTTACTTTTTAATATCACATTTAGTTAAACTTTTTTATCAATCAGTCATTTAATCTTTCAATATTAAAAAGTGACCGTGGTAGCTTAGTGGTCAAGGTAACCGACTCGTGGCCGGCGTGTCATGAGTTCTAGCCGAATACCGTTGAAGACCCGCCGTGCAGAGGAGGCCGATGCACGTTAAATCTGTCGAGAGCACAAACGTCATCCCATTGGTGTGGAAGGAAGGAGAGGGGGGATGACAGAACTCAGTGGTCGCCCTCATCTCTTCACCATGGTTCAAAATAACTAGTACCATCGCCAAAATCCCTCGAGTAGCCAAATAGAGTGACGATAATATTCACTTACTCACTCAATTATGTTAGCGTGGTTTGCAGTGTAGGATAGTGATGGTGATTCTTTCCGAAAAAGATCGATTTTTAAATCGATTCGAATCGTAACCGGATGAATCGATTCACAAAAAAAATCGAGGTCTAAAAGATCGATTTCTAAAAAATCGATTCTTTTTCAAGTCTGCATTTACAATGTAAATATAAATCCGTTTTTTGAAAAGCAAGAAATATACCATAATAAACGATCTCTTATCAGTAAAATCAGGGAAAATTTTTTAGTTCAGTTACCATATCAAAGTATCAGGTATAAAAGAAGACATTTATTTTCCAAATGTATTTGTTACATTAAAAAGTTTAGAAAGTAGATAATATAGCTTATAGTTCACAATACTTCATATCTAAGCTTTTTAAAAATAAGTCTGCCAAGTCTACTGGGATCCAAGCGGTTTCGCTCATCACTTGCGATGTTGTCGGCAATTGAAAAAAGTCGCTCACACACAAGGAACAGATGATCCCACGATACTTCATATACGTGAATCATGGCTATTCAGTGAACGTGATGAAAAATAAAGTTTTTTTGTTTATGCTATTAAAGTACGGGATAATACTTAAGGTAAGCACAACTGCCAGCGATAAACAGTGTTTAAGGCTGTTTTCGCAATATGTTCAAGAGAGTGAACTTAACGCAAAGCACATTTTTGGACAGAAAAAATGCTTCAATTTTTATAAAAATCTGTAACATTGTAGCTCATGCATTTGTAAAAAATGTAGTGTTTTTAAAATTTCAAACTGTTTCATCAATTATTAGTTCTTCCTTTTAACATGTAAAGGGATAGCTCATTTAGCATTACGATATAAGAGAAAAAATGCGAAACACATTTTATAAAAGAAAAAAATGTGTCACACAACTCGGATAAAAAGGAGTAATATGATAAAATAAGGGATTCTCTACAGGATAGTGAAGCCGGAATATAATATTAATGTTTGTGAGTATTTATATATATCTGAAAAAATATTCCGAATTTGGGTCCTATTCTTTAACATTAACCAAAGACAGCCTTAAATTCTTCGTTTTTACCAAATATGCATTACATCCTTCGGTTTTACTAATTTTTGGTTTTTACCAAAACACAGAAAAATTCGAATGTAGATTCTCTAGAATGAAATATCGATTCACCGAATCGATTCAGGGCTACATATCGATTTAAAAAAAATCGATTTTTTTTTACCCGAGAAATCGATTTTTCGATTAATCGATCTCAGATCGCCATCCCTAGTGTAGGATACCTTTTGGTATCATCTTCGTCCCTAGACCGTTGTTCAAAAATGTTATGTCCGGTTAGCCAGTGGCCCTTGTGTTAGT